CATGGCCGCGTAGTGACGGCCCCGACCACTGCCGCTTGACCTGACCGGAGAAAACCGTAGCAGGAAGCTACCGAAGTCGTAGTATATATCGTCCAATAGAACTGCCCGGTAAACCGTAGGCAGAGAGGGAGAAGAGGACAACAAACGAGGGGCTGTGACAAACTGTTTCGTCGGAGTTTATATATATATTGTCACGAAGTTGTCAGAGCGCAAAAGCGAAAGGAAAACAACAAGAAAACAAAGAAAAATAAATTCACTTTTCTTCTTCCTTACAACTCCCCCTGTTCAAAACCTCTTGCGTACAAGGCCGCCCACGTGGATGTAGGTTGAGCGGCGGCTGCCCCTAACCCCTGTGTGCCGTATCGACCCACCTGCACACAGCAAAAAGGCGAAGAGGCAATGAAAAAAGGAAGGGAACAGCCAAACATTACAGAACAGGGGGCAAACATATCCTAGATGACAAGTCCCACATGCATACACCGCCCCTAACTATGAACTAAAAGAGCGCACTTTGCGAAACAAACGGCAAAAATAAAAAAACTAAAAAACAAGACAAACATGAAGGGCACACTGAAACCATTCATTTTTCTCATTCTTCTTTTAACTTTCCCACCATGGTGCTTCTCACATCCAAGGCTCAATAGGCCCAGTGCCCAAGGCTTCAATTACAAAGTGAGATGCAACGAGAATACTGGGGCCACTACATGGCTTCGGCCCGAAAATAGAACAAGGGCCGAGCTGGAAAAGGGGTGCAGCATCCCTTCTGATTATTATTCGTTTTTCTTTTTATAATACTTATATCGATACTTTGTTTGATATTATTATGGACATTTTCTAGGACTAACACATTTATATTGGTGATATAGGCAGTGTACAAAAATCAATAGGACATGATATGCAAAAGATGACAGGTCCAATTGGCGAGAGGGGTATTCCGCAAAGTTTCACAACTCTGTCGCAGGGCCATTTCACTGAACCCATGGCTTTGAGGGGTATCTGATGAAATACCCCAGCTTTCAGGGGTAGATAACTTGGGAAAATTCTTGAAATGCCCCTGAAAGCTGGGGTATTTCATCAGATACCCCTCAAAGGCATGGGTTCAGTGAAATGCCCCTGCGACAGAGTTGTGAAACTTTGCGGAATACCCCACTCGCCAATTGGACCTGTCATCTTTTGCATATACCCCTACCAGGCCCTTAACAACTTGTCTAGGCGGGTCCAGTGAAATGCCCCTGCGACAGAGTCGTGAAACTTTGCGGAATACCCCACTCGCCAATTGCACCTGTCATCTTTTGCATATACCCCTACCGGGCCCTTGACAACTTGCCTATATGCCCGGCTATTTCTGTGCGTTGGACCCTGAAGTCGGCAAAAGAAATGCACGGGCCCCTGCGGCCAGGGCATATGGCAAACTTGTCGATGACCGGGACAGAGGCAAATGCAGAAGTTTGGGGCATTTTGGCATACCCCCGTGTTTTAGGGGGGTATCTAGCTAAATACCCCAACCTCAACAATTTTTCCATTTGAATTATAAAATAATACAACAATAAATTAGCAATGGATTACCTTCTCTGGAAGCGTCGAATGATGGCATCGTCTAGATCGAAGGGCCTGTTTGTTGCTGCAAGAATGAGCACCCGCACATCCTCTTGCGAGGTAAGTCCGTCCCAATGACTCATGAACTCATTCTTAATCTTTCGCATTGCTTCGTGCTCCCCAACACGCGTCCTCCTTCCCAACATGCTATCCACCTGCACATCAGGTAGTGGAGGTCCCATCTAGCAGTCAGTACATCAGAGCCCGAGAAAAGCACCATCCGTCCATTATGTCCATGTGCTTATAATGCAAAAACGAGTCGAATGACTGCATTATTACTGGGCTGGTCAAGCTGACATAGAAGCACTGACGTATACGTATGAACATGCATACCCCCCAATGAATCCCTCGTTTTCAAAATCTTATATTGAAACTTGAAAGTGACCAACAAGAAGAAAGAAGGAAGCAGACAGCAGCCCCCCGTCATGTAATCCGTTTCAGTTCTTCTTCGCAACTTCAAATACCCACTCAAAACTTTCGAGCATCTCTCTCTCTCTCACGCACACACACACGGCAAAAGAGAGAGAGAGAGAGAGAGAGAGAGAGAGAGAGAGAGAGAGAGAGAGAGAGAGAGAGAGAGAGAGAGAGAGA